TTGAACTTGTTTAAACTAAGCATAAAGCTCCAAATGTACTTCAGTAGTCCAGCGTTTTGTAAGCGCTTCCGCAGATTCAGTAGTGTAATTTACATTGCTGTAAAGAAAAAGTACACTTTTCGACACATTATTGGATAAGATTTAAAGTATATTACTTAAGTTACGTATGTATTTTTTGGCACGTATTATGTATAACTGTGTTTATCGCTTACAGAAAAGTATTATTGAGGTATCACTAATTAATAATTGTCGCTAAGTAATTTAATCAATAAATTGCAGTGAGTTTTATTACTTTACTCACTACTGTGTCAATAATTTTCAGTAGTTTAGTAATTTGTAGTATGTGTGTTTGACAATTTCTGAATAATTCTTCAGTAATTTATTACACGACTCAATTACTGTCCAGTAAATGAGTCGTGGAATAAATTACTAAAGAATTATTGAGAAATTATGTAATGAATTACTTGCTAAGTAAAAGAACTATGTGATTTATTACTCAGACTCAATAATAAATCACTGAATCAGTAATATGACTGCAGATTAAATTAAGTTCCGAAGCTCTATGATGAATCATTGACTCAATGATTTAGCTGTGACAAAACTTACTGGCTCATTTATAATAATAAGAGAAATATTTTTATCTATTGTTGCAGGTATGTTGCACTGCAATAGTTTTAAGGAAATAATAATTTAAATAGATAAAATAAAATGTTTAAGCCCAGGCAACCAGCTGACGTTATAATGACGTTAATATAAAGTCAGTTTTTGACCAGTTCGACGTTAGTTTATGACGTGATATTAACGTAATGATGACGTGAGTTTGTCTCATCAAAAATGACGTCATGTTAATGACGTTTACTTACGTCAGTAATCTGACGTAACGTGATTAACGTGAAAAAAACTAATGGCACATCGTAAGAGGGGAATTAATTCGAGATTTTACTCAAATTAATCTTTGGAGACCTGATTCTCAGTTTGTCGATCAACTGATTAACTCGATGAAAGGTATTATGTCCGGAAAAAATCCTGAGGTGATGATGAGATTTGAACTTGAGACCACCATATTCGCAGGCCCTGCACTCAGTTCGCAAGACCACTTGTTCCTTAATAAAATGTAATTCTTTCTCTGCTTATTCTTATGCTATTCTTCGCATTTTATTTATTACTTATTTAAATTATTATTTAATTATTAAATAATTTATTTAATTATTAAAAATATTGCAGTGCAATATTTGTAATAAAATAATTTATATAAGTTACAAATGAAAAATATTGCAGTGCAATATATTTTTAATAAAATGCCTGCAACA